TATATATATATATATATACATTGGAATGTTGTTTAAATTTTGAATATCTTTGGTCCAGAAGGCTAGCATATATGACACTTGAAAGCACATGTCAAATTTTAATACTAAAATTTCCATCAAAAATTTTAATTTACGTTTTTAATCTAAGTAAATTTATTCAAGACCTTGTAAAAGCAGAACTTGAAAATAGCTAGGTAGGTACATTATTTACGTCTCTCTGGAACTGTACAGTGACAGTCTGGGAAGCATCCCACAAGATGGTCAGAAGACTTGCCATCCCAATTTTGATCCTCTGCAGAGGGAATGGTTCCTCCACTTTGGTAACTCAACAACCTTTGCGCGAAGTCGAGCCCTTAACAGTAGAACAGTTTAATGAGGACATAAACAGCACAACTACGGTCCCTACGCAGGCTAATCAAAGTGGTCACCCACCCACTTACTGACCGCAGCCAGTAATGCTTGTTTTCAGTGTTCTACTGGGAACCGTGTCTTTACGATCTGTGGGATGCAAATCGATGCGGTAGCATGATTACAATTAATATTTTTCATATTTTAAATATCTACAGTACGATTTAAAAAAAAGTTATACGTATTTATATATTGTTCTTTTTATTTATTATAATTTTCATTTTATAGTATACTGCCTGAATCTCCAAGCTGGCTGATATCGCAAGAAAAATACGAAGAAGCTGCTAAAATCTTGGAAAAAATTAGTAAAATGAACTGTCAAGATGTATCTTATGAAGAACTTTTGAAAAACATTCAGGTCCTAGAGATATTTATTTGAAATTATTTTAGAAAATTTGTCTTCAATCAATTTAATTCTCATACATCGGTTAAAGTTAAACTTCTACTAAAAGGCGTATTTCTTAATCGTTAGCACAATAAACCGAATTTCCAACCAGTCTTGTTAAAGTTTTCCACTGTCTGGCAGACCATTGAAGGGTTTCGTGATTTTTTTCCTTGCGTGGCGCTTGAAAAAGTTTTTCATTACATCTAATCCTCTCTTGTTTTGTGGTTTGATATAGGAGCTACTTTTTGCGGCAATTCAAAATTGCCAGGATAAGAAGATTAATCATAACTTTAAAGAAAGCAATACCTCAAAATAATCTTCTGCTCAGCACTACTTATATAACAAAACTCGTTTCCTAATATCGAAATGTTTAAAATGATTGCTGCTTTTTTATAGTACTGCTGAGAAATATTTGAATTTAATTGATGTTAAGATAGTTGAACTCATTTTGTCCCGAAATAATAAATTAAAATAATAGAAAAAGTGGTTTTAAGGAAAAAGTGGTATAATATATTATCGAAATTAATTTGTTTTTCTACTGTTAAGCATACAATAAGCCTTTGATAGATCAAAAATTACTTGTTCCTTAGAATTCTAGATCTAATCAGAAATAACTAAATCATTGTGGTATCTGAGAATCCTTTAATTCATCCAGATGAATGAAAATACTGAAAATAGTTTCCCACCACAATGAATGTTTTTGAAAAAAGGAACTGTCCTAAATATATGACGCTGGGCGTTAACCGGTTAACACCAGGGCTAAAGAGAATAGAAGGGCTAGTTCACTCCACTCTTAGAGCTGAAGCTACGATTTCCCTCCTCATGACGTCACTGTGTCCACAGATCTCGGAGATCGCAAGCAAAGATATGATAACTTTGCATCTTTCTCTTTGTAAAAATAAGTTAGACTTTTTCTGGTTATTAGCCTTCAAACTTTACGTAATTAACACATTATTTCCGTTCATAAACATAGTTCAAAAAAAACTTTCTTGGTTATTATATTAAAAAAATACCATTTTAAACTTATAAAAATGTTTTGCTAGTTGGTGAAAATGACACGATAAATACTTTATTTTAAAAAGTTCAGTTTTAACTTTAACTATTAAGAAAAATGAAGGCATATATCGACACTTTTTTTATCTACATATTCTTTTATAAAGATAAGTTAAGTTAAATTTAGAATCCCTGATTTTAAAATATGTCGTTAATAGCAATTTGTTCATACTTAATCATTAGGAAACATCAACCTTAAACGCTAATTACTGAAACAAAATAATAATTTAGGTTCATAATGACATTAGAAATTTTACAATTGTTTATAGACATTTAAATTTACGATGATATAATTTATAGATATTTAAATTGAAGAGAATATAATTTTTAAAAAAAATCATAAATATTTAGAATAACTACATTAAAAAATATGTTATGAAATTAGGAGAATTTCAACTATATACTATATATTTTATTTATACTTTTTACTTACATTTTAATTTTCTTTGACTTTATCTATTTTTTAATTCTTTTCACCTGCCTTTCTTTATGAAGTAACGAGGCGGTTTCTATTTAGATAATGAATTTTTATAAAAGTTCTTAACGACAGAATAAACGTATTGCTGTTTTATATTAACTGTGTCATTTCGGAATCCATTCTTTACATAGTTGTTCATTTACTTTAGGGAACACGCGGAAAATTATATTTTTTCCTTTTGTTTTTGTATCAGAATTTTTGCAAGTTGCAATCGCGCAAACTGGCATTTCGATAATAGTTTTAAATTCTTGTAAATTCTCTGCAAAAACTGAGGAAAGTCATTATAGAAAATAACAAATGTCTTAGAATATCTCGCAAAAAGAAATGATCCAATATTAGTTAGAGCTAGTAAGGCCGATCGCTCCGTTCCTGAAGTAAAAGTGCGAGCTTTGCGCCAAAGTGACGTCACTAGAGAAAATCGGAGGATTGGCGCGGCGAGAGTTACTTCAAAGGAGTGAACCAGCCCTTCTATTCTCTTTAGCCCTGGGTTAACACTAGGTTTACGGATGTTTCATATATAACTCTCTCTACGAACTCGCGTCATTTTGACGCATGAACGAATACATGTAACAGCACTTACAGAGATGCCAACTTGCTCCAGACAGCATATATATATTTTAAAGTGGTAGTTTATCAATTGTGATTCTTGGTTTAATAAATTCAGTTTAGTAGATTTCTATCCACCACTATTTCTAAATAATTCGTAGGCTTAAATAATTCACCACTTTATATTTGGGAAGTTTATTTAGTAGTTAATTACCGTTTTTTAAATTACTTTATTGTGTCCGGAGCAGTTGGCTTTATATACTATAATAAAATAATATGAGATATATATTTATGAAATATTCCAGTATTTTATTTTTCAATACTCGAACTATGCAACTGAAACCTTGAAAATCTAACACTCTGACATCAATTGACATTCTGCGTTTGTTCTTTCTATTATTGCTTATTGGCAACAGTTGTTTATCGCTTGTTTCATTTGAGAAATCGATATCGGATCGAAGTAATGTCGTTATATTCTTACTTATTATTGATGTGATGTTTGCATGTTTACTCAAAATTTTGTCTAAATTACGATCGCGTCAGATTGACGCATATCCGTAGAGATAGGTATACCATAAAGAGAATTTCAATATTTCAACGCTTTTGAAGAAAATAGACTTCAATATATATTTACCTCGATCAATGGATAAAAGTCATTACAAGAGGTAAAAAAAAAAATTCAAACGGGTTTTGTAATTTTCCTTACAAATCTCGAAGTGCGTCAAAATGACGCGTCCCGTAAACCTAGTGTTAAAAAAATTTAAAAGCCCTAAGAAACGTAGGAACTTGACTGGGGTGTCAGCTGATCTCATTTTTCACTAAGGATGTCGCTTTATAATTCATTGCTTGTTTCCGTTATTGATTCTTCTGTTTTCTAAATATTTCTTCTCGTCAAATAGTTAATTTTTTTTATATATATTAGCATAAACATTATGCATAACTCACAGTATCCCATAATATTTTTAATGCCATACGGCTGATTTAAAATTATTTCAGACGTTATTTCATGATTCTTTTAATAACATTATTTTTAATTTTGTAGAACAGATTAATATGTAATATTTATTAAATCAAGAATATAAGCTAACAACTGATGTCTTTCATTATTATTATTTAAATACAAATATGAAACAAATTGCTTAATATTAAAAAAAAATTGTGAAAATAACAAAAAGAGTAGCGTTTACGACAGTTTTGAATGACATAACGTTGAAAGAATGCGAAGGATACATCCCGTCACATATGTTATTTTTAAAAGTATAATTATTGTTCTCTTTTCGCAAGTTTTCTATTGTATGTCATTTATTTCAATTTTAAATATTTTAATCCTTAAAAAAGAATTAGTTTTAGATATTTTAATAATTTATTTAAAATCCTAAGTTTTTCCGCTAGAACACATTTCAAATTGGTTAACTTAGAAGCAATCCATTTTAATCCATATATCATAACATAGCAATCTTCGGGGATTAGGAGCGTCAGCAAACAGGTAACGCTACCCACTTGTTCTGTTGTTGTTGTTTCTTATGCCACTTGCCACACTAGCAAGCCTGCTTGGTGAAACCGAGCAAATTTAAGGCAGAAGGTGCGTTTCTTGTTTTACATTTGCGTCATCTATGGTCGAGAATTCGCCTTCAGCTACACACACGTCACATCCGTTTATAGGGTGGACCCATTCATACATTCATCCATTCATTCATCCACAGATCGTAATTTTTGACCTGGATCAGAGAACGATCGATCTCCAATGCAGTACCCCCAGAGGTATTGATTTGTTATGGGAACATGGAGGACTTTGCGACTCGACAGATTTAACGTGCATCAGTCACCATTTACTGCACGGGGAGTCTTCGGCTGGCGGGGTTCGAACCCACGAACTCTCGGACATGTGCCCAGCCATCACCTCCAACACCAGAAAGTCTCCACACGGTTTTTTATAAGTAGTCCGTGCGGACTATTCCAAAATTGAACCGGTTGTGCGCATGGAACCCATATTCTATTCTAAAGTTGACTGAGAGAAATTTATCATTTATGCTTGAGAATTGAATCTGTAGTGGTTGACAAGTAAATGAAACAAACCAATCATATTCATAAACTAAACAAATTTTTAGACATATATTTGCTACCACTCTCTTATTTTTTCCTAGATTTCGCATTAAATGGCTCTTTCTAAAACTGGTTTACTTTCATAGTGGTCTGATCGGACTACTGATAAAAAACCGTGTGGAGGCTTTGTGATGTAGGAGGTGTTGGCCCAGCACCCTACCGACCAGGCTATCCCGGCCTTTTCACTTGTTCTAGATTATTAAAACGAAATTTTCAGTTTTCAAACTAAATATACCTTATTATAATGTAAAATACATATTGGTACATGACAAACGAGCAGTTAATTTGGAAATTTATTATAGACGTTATTTCATAATGTTTTAATTATCAGTTCTTTTAATTTGCAGTTTTGTAAAACAGATATATGTAATATTTATTAAGACCAATAAATGAATAAGGAAATGAATTTCTTCCCCTTTTTCGTCGCATGCTCCATTCTATTATTATATGTTTATGAACATACACTCCGATATTTTAGTTTTGAGCGAAATTTTCAATACGAATAATCTTTTTCCCCTCTTAGTTAACCGATTATGTATCTGCAATTGATTTCATAGAGGCACTTTTCAACCTTCCCAAAATGCTTCACTTGCATTTCTTCGATAGAAAGTATTTTAAAAAAATTGTATGCTTGTTTCGTATAAATTGGCATGAATTACAATAAAGCTGGTCATATCTCTCGATAATCTTTTTAAAATTTTCTTAGTTGTATGATTAAGTATCGTAATTTCCAAGATTTCGTACTGAAAACTCTCTTTTATTCCAGAATTTAGAAAAAAAGAAAAAGAAAATCGATTTCAAGAGCAATTCACCAATCAGTCTGTTTACGTATCCAAACATGAGAAAGAGATTCTTTTTTTGCATTATAGTAATGTAAGTCCTTTTTTCAAAACCTAATTTTAAACATACATGAATAGCTAGTGAATTAAAAATTGTAAAACCAAAATAATTTCTGATTTTATCATCAAAATTTTATGTACTAACATATGTATCGTTAAAAATTGAAAGAGGATAATAATATAAATTACACCTTAAATAGGTAAATTAATTCATTATTAATTATGTTAATTAATAATTATTATATTAATTTAAATATATTTTTTTCAACGGCTTAGAGATTCGAAATCTGAGAAATAAGCTGAAAAGGCAGTTGAAAGTTTGAACAAGTAAACATTTGAGAGATTCCTTTCTTTCTCTCTCTCAACAGCCAGCACCCTCAGAATTTGGCAAAATCTGAGCATGGAAATTTTACTAAACTGTACTGTTATTATTTATCAGAAATTACATGAAATTGGTTTCAAACAAACACTTTGCTATTTAAACATGATTGATAAACAGAGTAGGGAATTTGTTAGTTTCAAAAGTTAAATCATCATCATAGTTGGCCAGACAGCCCAATGTGGGTCTCCGAAGTTCTCTTCATGACGACCTCCGATTTATCTTTGATCTCCAACTCTTTTCATTAATTGCTAGAAAATCAGATTCCACTGAGTCAGCCCATCTCAACCACGGCCTTCCCAGCTTTCTTTTTCCAGTGGGTCTAAAAAGCAGTATCTTTTTTATTGTGTTGTCGTCACTCATTTGAATCACGTGGGCGATTCAATTCATTCTATTTGTTTTTATGTATTTAAGTTCATTCTATTTATTTCATATTAAGTTTTTAATCTACAAAACTCTTGTCCGGCCAGAGTTGACATATGCTTCCTGAAGCTTGGACAATGACAAAACTGGAGGAAAATTGTATCGCAATATTTGAGAGAAAGATTTTGCTCGGCATACTTGGTGGTGTAAATGAAAACAATAACTGGAGAAGGAGATTTTACTTTGAACTGTACAAGATTTATAAACAACCTGATATTATTAAATTATTATTGAATAAAAAATTTTTACTACACTAATTTAATTCTCTTGTTTGTAATTGCTGGCAGGAGTTCAAATTCCCGATTGCTCTCCTGCACAAACTATTGGGACCATATTTTTCAGATTGTGGTGCCCTTTTTAATTTTGGTGGTCAGAAATCCCAATTCTAAAAATTTATTCAGGAAAAGTATGTTTTTGAGCTGAATTTTCTAACTTAAAATAGCGTATTCACTCATTATATAGAATATTTAAGTTTAAGACATTAAGATAGAGTCTTAATACTTGAAAATCCAATAATTAGATCAAAAATAATTCAAGAAGATCACTATTTTTAACACTAGAACAGCCAAATTTTTAAATTACCTAATTTACTAATCAATTTGTTTTCTATTTTAAGGATAGGAGTTTCCATACCTTATTATGGATTGCAAGAAAATATTGTCAACTTAAGTGGAAATGAATTTCTGAATTTTTTCTTTTTGTCTCTTATTGAAATACCGGCTCATCTCCTGACTTGGTGGCTTTTGAACAAAATAGGAAGAAAGAAAACAATTAAGTTTGCATTCATATTCACCATCGTGTTTTGCTTGATACCAGTATTTTCCCCTCAAGGTGAGCGAAGATAATAAGAGTTTTCGAATGCTTTGCTTTGATTTGTATACTTCTTCAAATATTTAGTATAATTAGTAGCTGAATCAAATTGGAATTCTTCATAAAACAGCGAGGTAGCTATTTTAGTGAAGCAATTGCTTCAGAGCAAATTAACAAGTTAAGTAGGAGACATTCGATCGTAGAGCTTCATCAAGATTTTAGACTAGATTCATTTATCTTCATCTGGAATGTTTTATAAAACAGCAAGAAAGGTAATGTTGTAAAACAATCACGCCAGGGGAAGCTAATATTTTAAGTGTGGGGCATTCCAGCGTAGAGCTTCGTCAAGACTTTTAACTATATTCATCTAGCTTTATCTGGAATGTTTCATAAAACAGCGAGAAAGCTAATTTAGTAAAACAATCGTGCCAGGGGAAACTAATATTTTAAGTGCTGGCATTCTGGCTTACAGCTTCACCAAGATTTTTAACTAGATGAATTCATCTGTAATGTTTCATAAAACAGCGAGGCAGCTATTTTGGTGAAACAATCGCTTCAGGGAAAGTTAACATTTTAAGTACGGGGCATTTCAGGTTAGAGCTTCATCAAGACTTTGAACCTCCCTTTATCTTTTTAACTGGCTATTTTCTTTCAGGGAATTTTTAAACAATTCACTTTTACATATAAATAGTTTTAATATTTTATTAAATATTTAATTGGAATGTACCGCTTACAAGCTTTACAACTATAACCGAATAAACTTTAAACTCTTATTACCACAAATCAAAATTACTTGAAGATGCATGAAATCTTAACTCAATCTTAAACGACTAATTTATGTTTCAATGATTGGACTATTTACCGATATACACATTTATGCATCACCATAGCATGAAACAATATTTCAAAAACACAAATTAAGAAGCTTGTCTCTGACAAAAATACGCAATTCCAGATAATTTATACGAAACAAATGTTCCCATATAAAGATATTAAAATAGAAATATTTGACAAATATATTGCCAAATTAAAACAGAAATTTCTGGACGAAGTTCTAAACTGTAAACCAGCAGATTTTAATAAAATGTTTCGTTGTGAGAATGTAGAAGATTTTAAGTATTAGGTATGGTTCTCAACACCAAGAGGCATATATACATTATGTGTATACGCCCAATCCCAAGCTATGCTTCCCTCACTTGAAGATCGTGAAATAAATACGCGAATTAGAATATGACTCACCTTCGAGCATAAAATTCTAAGAAGAATCAAAGGCACACCTTGGTTCGGGTGAAATAATACAATTTATAGCGACCTAAAAATAGACAAATTAGACAACTGCCTACAAAAACAAAAGGCGTTCTTCTTAAATAAATCCACGAAGTCCACAAAGTGTGATTTTAATCAAATTTTCGATTTTGATTTAATTCACAACATAAACTTAACTTATCAATTTAATTCCCAACATCTCATGATGAACTGCCTCACTCGGCATCCGTGAAGAACTTCGGGGGAGGGGGGAGCGAGCGAGTGCTGAGGGGAATCAAGATGCAGGGCTCGAAAAAACCCAGAAATTTTACCCGCCCCCGAGAACGGCTTGTCCAACAATGTACCCGTCCTCCTTTGAAACTAACCCGTCGCTTCTAAATAAATAAAAATATTATTTTTCCTTATTTATTACAAACATTAACATAAATTGCACAATGAATTAGTAGTTACTAGGATTACAAATACTAGGATTACATTATGCAGTAATACGCATTACATTATATAGTATATACTAGGTTACTAATAGTAACCTAGTATTTCTTTTATGAAATAATTTAAATGACAAAGGTCAAGTTATCTGGAATGTCAATTTATCCGAGGGTACTGCGTTTTTGAAATGAATCAAATATGACCTTTGCCAGTTCCACAATCAAGCCAATGATTTACAGAGGTTTCTGCATAGAAATCTGAAAGGGGTTTTCCATTTAGGTAGATGTTCATAACTGAGCTAAGCGCTTCTTGTTTAAGACCAGTACGTAATGTGTCTTTTTGTAAGTTCATTGCTAAAAAGCCTCTTTCAACCGCTGCAGTACTCCCAGACAGAGAAAACATCAATTCCACCATGAGCAGTATGTTGCTGTATTTCTAGATTAGAGGGTCATTTTAGAAGTGAGGCGCTAGACTCTTGTAAGATAACAAAAATTGAAAATGTATCACGAACATTAACGGGAAAATGGCCGTCCGCGCGGACGTTGGATTCGAGAAATTCGTTGTCCGCGGGGAATTTTTGACCGCCGAGGACGGGCGGACGGGCTGTTTTTCGAGCCCTGTCAAGATGCCTGTTGTTGTTTTTTTATCATTTTATTTTCGATACCTTGTATATATATATACATGCCTCCCAACTTGTATGGTCGCTGAAAAAAATATTAAAACAGTGGTAGTAAAACAACAATTAAAGTTGGTAAATATTTTCTAAAAATTAAACATTTAAGAGTTTAATAAGCTAATAAATAGATCATATAAACATGTTTTTTAATTATTGATACGTCGTGGTAGGTCGAAAAGTTTTTTGAAACTTTAAATTGAAGATTTAATGCGTGAAAACGCTATAATATTGCTACCACTAAGAAAATTTTTTTTGCCTGACGTATGAATTGGTTGCTACTTATAGGTTGCAATTATTAGATATCTATATATATTATCTATATATAATTATTTCTGCGTCCCTGATTGTCTTGTATATAGCCTGTAAGTGTATTTTATATTATAGTTTTTTTATTATAATATTATTATTTTATCATGTTCATTTACTATTGTAATCTTCTCACTTTGTTCTTATTTTCAAAGTTGTAACAAAATAGATACATATTAATATTTTAATCATTGTCTAATATAGTTGTTTGATTTTGACGGGGAGATTTCCGTATCGTGATCAGTGGCAGAATAATCGCCAAGTCTTGGAAACTTTCGGGCAGTGGCAGCGAGAAACTAGCGAAAGCATCATAGAAAGGGACCAACTCGTAGCCACCCCCGGGCAAACATCTACATGTTTTTTTTCTCTTTAATTTACAAGTTTAAAATCTATTTTGCACCTTGGCGATAGCAGTTGGCGCGACAGATCACGATACAGAAATATCCCCGTTTTGTCCACAAAAGAAAAATAATTTAAATAGTCCGATTTTAAGTCCGATTAATTTTTTTTATGAATCCTTAATGTTAGCGTAATTAAAATAACTCTTGCTTACAATCATATAATTAATTGTTATATCACAAACACTACAAATAATATTTACCAGAAAGTGAAAAAAAGGCATCCACGTATTTCATTCATCTCCTGTTACTTCCTTATCTTAAACACTAAGCAATAGAAATAACTATGTATCAAATTTATATCGTTTTTACCCACTTACCTACTTTACTGACTGGTATGGACATAAGGAATGGGCAGAGGCAATGTTTAATTAACTACCCTGATAAATTAGACAAGTGAATACCAGCTGCTTTTTCTTGAGTTTTAATGAATGTATAAAAAAATTCGAATCGTTATAAAAATGTTCTTTTATTCCCTGCACTAGAAAAAATATCTAATGTTGGGTATTCGATAACCTATTGAATTTTTTTAATAAAAAAAACAGACATATTTATATATTTAATTTCAAATAAATCACTAGTAGTTATCGATGTACTTATTCTATTAGCTCTCTTACATCAAAATGCTATGCCAACATATCCGAGGGGCTACGCCACATTACTGCACATTCAAAGTAAAATGGCATAGTTGGAGATGTGCAATTTAAATATTCTTTTTACTATCACTATTGATTTCTAATTAAGTGGTTTAACTATTGCAGTGTGTATCCAGCACTTTTATTTAATTTTCCTCATTAATTTACAGACAATTCAGAAATTCAGATTGTAGTTGCTATTTGTGGGAAAGCTGGAGCAAGTGCAGCTTTCATGGCTCAGTACCAGCATTGTCCAGAACTGGTCCCAACTCCTCTGAGAGGTATTGCGATGGGCTTCATCAGTACCATTGGAGTTGGTTCCACGCTCTTCTCACCATTTATTGTCGGTTTGGTAAGGTATTATTGATTTATTCGTTTTCCGCAATATTTATTATGAATCAGTAAGGAGTCGCATTTTCAAAGTCTTTCTTCTTAAAAGCAAGATTAAAAGTTTACGGTTATAAATTATATTTACAGTTTTTTTTCCGGCTATGGAACCCTATAGGATCCGCATTCTTTCGATAGAACCCCGGCTTTATAATTAAAGTAAAGTAAAGTAGTTAATACTGAAAGAAAACACAAATAATTAAGATCAAAAGGATAAAACTTCTTTGAAAAAAACGCGCTAAGAAGCAGCAGAAATTTCAGAAAAAAGTATCAATACAAAACAAATGAAATAAAATAAAAATATGACCACCGAAGCCGACGTCTTCAGGGGGTACCGGCCCCGGTAGCCATTAAAAACAAAACCATTTCTATTTGAGGGAGAAGCAAAAGCTTAAAACATCTCCCTCAGTACCCCGATGGTTTTGTATAGAGGTCCAGGAAAAACAAGATACATTCAAAAGAATAAANTTAATGGCTACCGGGGCCGGTACCCCCTGAAGACGTCGGCTTCGGTGGTCATATTTTTATTTTATTTCATTTGTTTTGTAAAGTAGTTAACTTATAAAACACTGCTATCGTTTTATCATTGATAATCTAAAATTAGGCTTACATCAGGCAGTTGTATTCATAAATTTGGAGGCTAAATATAGGTTTGCTAAGAATTTGGTTTTGGTTTATAAACATAAGATGAAAATGAATGAAATAAGAAGAAGCATGGTTTTCATTGAAACGAAAACTAAAAAGAACTGTCATCAACGTTGAAAATTGTTAGCAGGGAAACATGTTTCTTCATTGACAATCTAGCCAAATCTTTAATTTAATTTAATTTAATTTAATTTAATTTAATTTAATTTAATTTAATTTAATTGTTGTAATTTAATTTTGTTGTAATTAGGTTGTAATTTAATTTAATTTAATTTAATTTAATTTAATTTAATTTAAAAGATACCAATGTATTAGATAGCAAACCAAACCAAAGATAAAAGATTAGAAACCAAAGATTAGAAGATACCAAAGTTTGAAAAGATACCAATGCAATATTTTATAATGCATATACTTTTCGTAGTTTATACATTATATCGTTAGTTGAAAAATTTTGTATTTTTTCCACATCGAAATGTGCTGTTTTTTTACAATGGCATTTTATTGTAATTAATGTCGCAAAAGCAATCAAAATATTAAGTAAATAGAGAATTATTGTTCGTATCTTAATAAAATTACAGGTTTCAGAAATGTTAAAAAGAGTACTAACTTGACCGGAAACAGATTACCTCTTCCACGGATCCATAGGATTCCACGACACACCATTTGGGAACAGCTGATTTACAGGATAAGTAAAAGAAAATGAAAATAAATTTTATATGAAATTATTAATACTTTTCAAATTAATTTCCTGGTATAGAATGTTTAAAATTTCAAGGGACAGTCAAAACAAGGAATAAATTTCACTAAATCTACAAGTTTTCTATCTCTCATTCATTATTCCCAACTTTCATCCACAGAACGCAATTTTGACCTGAACCAGAGAATGATCAATCTCAAATTTAATACCCCAAAGGTATGATTTGTAATGGGAACATGGAAGACTTTGTGACCCGACATACTTAACATGAACCAGTCACCGTTTACCTGCGGAGATCCAATTCACGACATCTTGGACATGGGCGTAAAAATAACTTAATGTTAGCAATTTAATTATAGTGTATCTATGTTCAAATTTAATTTAAAATTTTTTTTTTCCTTTTCAATTTACATAAGTTTCTTCTCAGGATAAACACGGATCATATTTTCCTTACCTAGTGTTTGCTATTATTTGTTCAGCTTGTGGCTTTTGTGGCAGTTTCTTGCCAGAAACTTTAGGTAAAGTGTTGCCTCAATCCGTGGAAGATGTTGAGAATGCTGATAAGCATCGAAGATCTTTGTGTACTGGGTGAGATAATATTGTTGTTTTTTTTTAAAAATTTGTTTATTATATATTGAATTTGATCAGAATCAATCTCGTCAGATCCCGTTTGCACCAGCAATGTTAGGTTTGTAAATTGATTCATGGAAACGAAAGGTTCAAGATACATAAATACGAAGCACATTACAGGGCTTATCATTATCCCTCTACCAGGACATTTCGGGTGAAAATTAAAAACAAACATAAAAGCAAACGGAAGAGAATTTATTATTCAGGGTGGCCGCAGGCGACTGAAAATTTAAAGTTTTATTAATAATAAAATTTTAGTTCGAAACTTTTTCTATAATAATTTTTTTTCAGTTTGCTAATTTTCAGCCTAATTTCGCCCCATATCTAATTATCAAGGCTAATTAGAAGTATATAACAAGATTTATAAATAATATTCGGATCTGTTTCGAATCTAGGAAAAAGTAAATGGTGGATAATTCATAATTAAAAGTAGTAAAAGCTGTAATTTTTTTAAGGCTATGGATTTACTGCCATTTTTTTTTCTCTTTTGCGAGGTACAAATAGCCCATGTATGATTCTCAGTTCAAAAGTTTAAACCCCTGTCTGAAAGAAAATCATCTCCAGCATTCGTAAAATATTCGACATCACTGGATTAGTTCATTTATAAGTATAAATATTTGTTAAAACAAATTTCCTTGTGTTTCAGTGATTTCCTTTTTATAGGTGGTGTATGATGAAAAAGTATGACTTACAAGATGAAGACTCGAATAAATCAGAAGTCTCCAAATGCAAAGTTCCAAATGTTACTATACATTTGTCAGCACACACCCTTAATAATCTTAAATGCTTGTAAATTTACTTTCCTTAAATGGTGTTTTCTGAAACTTTCTTGCCATAGAAAATAAAAAAAAACACAGTTTAATTTTAGACAAATATTAAATTTTGCTTAAAAAAATCTGAGTGGGCTTTAGAACTAACAAGACCTTTATTAATATAAAAGTTATAAGTTCTTAAGAAAAAAATCCAAGTATGTAAAATTCTATTACCTAAAAGAAATTTATTGAAATCAATAATGAATTCGAAAATATCACATATTCTTATGAGCCCATACAATACAGTGAAATAAAAAATTAGTTTTAATTTTCTACAAGCAGACTTTTCTTACTTTTGACATTTGGCTTCATATTTTTGGAGGCTACTGGTTTTATTTCAATAAAGTTGGACAAAACTTGTCAATTATAAATAACAGCTACAGATTCACGACAGTTGATTAGTTTAAGATCAGCCTTAATATATTGCTCAACCTATAAAAATAAAAAAGAATCATGTGTGAAAGTCATATTTCAATAATACAAATTAAATTGATTCAATATTACAAATTAAAAATTGTAATTACTTAAAGCTGTATTTTGTTCAAAAAATATATGAAATGGAATTTTTGAAATTTTTTTATTAAATATATGGTTATAAAATATAGCTTTTAATTAAAAGTTTTATTCAACATTGATACGGATACTGTGTTTTATGTATTAATAGTTCAATAAAAAAATACAGCCAAGTTATATACCCATTTATTTTTAATTTAAAGAAATTAGACATTGGTTTTTTTTTTTTCAAAAAATTTTCTCTCATGGCTAAAAAAACTTGCAAACAGTTGTTGAAATAGCTTTGACCACAAAAAAATATTTTTATGTCTTATTTTCTCAAAAGAATCAAATCGAAAAGTGTGAAAAGAAGGGCAAGTACTCATTGCATGATTTCAGACGTAAATTTATAATCATTTTTCTATTTTCTATTTAAAATGGAAGAAATATTTTTGTGTTTTTAACATTACTCAGCGTTTTATTTACTTGACCAAACACCATTTCGTTGTTTAATGTTTTAAAAATGATTTTACTTCATGTTTTTGCATTTGCAACTCGATTTGGCAAAAATTGTTACTCCATTGGACAAAAATTACTACTCCATTTGACACAAAAATTTTAGTCATGACAAGGGCTCGTGAAATACGGTATCCCGGTCACCATTGGTGACTTATAAATTTAAGGGGACAACTATATTTTTAGTTTTTCAATTACGATCTGAGAATTTGTTATATTTTAGTATTTATATTAAAAAAAAATCGGTTTGAGAATTGAGCTCGAATGATATTTTTTTTCGTTCCCGTCCGTGTTTTCTACAAGCATAAAGAAAACAATTCCATTTTACCTTATCTTCGCACAGTTGCATTTTCCTTAAATTTCTAATTCTTCATATTGTAAAAATGATACTATTAATGTGATAAAAGTATAGAAATTCAAAAATCAGTAGAAATTTATAGCAATAACTGTGGGATTGCGATCGAAAAACCACAAGGATTTACGATGAATTCGGTACAAAATCGAGCCAAAGTGATCAAAAATCGAAAAGTCATTCGATTCGCGATTCATGAGTCTTAATAGTTTATCTTTAAAAGTATCGGGATTTATTATATTATTTAGAAATCCATGGATAGATCCACCGAAACAAAAAAGGTAAATTCGCAACGAAATCGGAGCAAATTAAACGCATTGGTCAAAAAAATATTATTCAAATACGCGATTCGAAATTACCTTTGTAATAATACCTAATTAAAAATATCGGTATTTCAGAAAACTGTAGAGAAAGCTACTAAGAAACCACATGGATTTTATCTGAAAAATCAAGCACGTCACTTAAATGTGTCCGTACAATTTCGTTCCGTACAATTTCGTATTAAAAATATGGAAAAACGCGGTCTATTTAATTTTATTTCAGCAAAATGTTAAAAGGAAGAAACATTTGATTTTATACACAACAATCGCGTTATTTTTCTGCGAGGCTCGTGTTTTTGAAATTTTTTGTGTCCATTAGCGGTCTTAAAAATTTTTTACAAAGTTGTATCTTAATATATGAATTTGCGAGAAAAATCCTGCTATATTTATATTACTACCCGCTAATTCTCAGATAATATACATAGTTAATATTCAAAACATAATTTTGAAATTGCATTTAAATTTTTATTAGTTTAATATTTTTTAGAAAAAATTCTCAGAATATTCTCCATGATTATAATTTCAGCTGTCGAAAAGTCAGTTTCATTAAAAACTGGTAAATCAATGAGTCACATACCAGAGCACTTAAATCTTTGAACAGAATTTTCAGTTGCTGCTGCCTTTTTGTAAGCCTCGGTCACTGGATTCGAATCTTAGAACTGTGTGATAATCAGGCCAGGATAACTTCATAACCTCTTTTCAATTGCTTAACACGTTGAATGCCACGGTAATTTTACATGGCTTGCCCGTCTGACCAAAAGGTAAATAACTACAAACTAAAATTACAAATATTGACAGATTTAGCTAGTTTTTTAAAAGGTTTAGCATGACATATCTGAAAAAAAGGGGGGAATTATATAACCCTACGAATTGTGTGAAAAATAAAAATCTACTAAATTGCATTTATTAAACCAAGAATCGCAATTAATAAACTACCACTCGAAAATATTTATTCGCTGATCGGAGCAAGTTGGCATCTCTGTGTATATAAATAAAACTATTTTTGAGGGATTAATTTCGCCATTAATTTCTTGAGCCATTAATTTCTTCAAACCATTTTAGTAACAATAATAATATTAAAAAAATTACTCGATTTATGTATTTCTAATAATCTTGGCTTCACCGGTGACCCCCTTGGTGGTACGAACAAACTCAGTGCCGGTCACCGGTGACCCCCATGGCATTCTACATGCTAAATAATGTACAGTTTAAAAGGCATAAAAAATGACCTGCCAAGCCTTTGGAGCAGATGCGTCGTGTATCCCGTAGCTGTAACGTAATTATTATAGCATATCTGGCCAACTCCAAAGCGTCTAGATTTTCTGTATGATTCAAATGACCATTCAGAAGAAGTATAACTTGTATCATAATGGAGCATGTAGCAAAACTTACAGTTTATTAAAGAGGATAATGAACTGTAGGTTTTGCTACATGCTACCACTGAGGATAATTTACGCCAGCACTGTGGTCGGTACAAGCCGGCTCAGTAATATTGCGAAAGAAAATTTTAAAATCAGCTGATTTTAAAATCCAAGAAGTTACAATTTCTATGGTCGCCATTTGAGTAGATTTGTTCTTCGCTCATTGGCAATATTCATGCTTTATTAGTGATTTGGCGCTTAAAAAATATCAAATAATTTAGAAAAACATTTGTGAGAAAGAAGTTTGTTATAAAAGAAAAATACGCACTTTCTAAGGACTATTGGTAAAAATTAAGTACTTAAGGTCTTTTGTGTAATACAGGTTAAAATAGAGCCCTTGAACGCCTTTTACTTCAATTGCATTCCAATTACCAGAAAGAACCACCCTAAAGATCACAATTCAAGACGAATGGGAAAAAGGCCGCTAACGGCCCCAGGCGCCCAGATAAATATTGATGATAATGATGAAAGAGCCCCTGAATTAGACAGGCCGACTTATCATTTATTGTTGGAGCAAAGAGCTAACATAAGCACGGCGAATAAATATTTTCAAGTGGTAGTTTATTAATTGTAATTCTTGCCTAAACCTAAACTTTTAAATGATTATTTCCGAGAAGGTTGAAGACTGGAAAGTTAAAAAAGGTATGTTTAATCTCTGTTCACAATCATACTTCTTCCGCCCCATAGTAGTTGCTAAATTTAGGTCAAAAATTAGCTCATATATTTTAAGTCGGAAAAATTATAAATAAATTCCGATAAAATTTAGTAAATCGACACGAGTTAAAACATGCTACTAATGAACTTATGAGCTAGAAGACAGTTTTAAGCGATATTTGGTGGTCGAAGAGTCCTGCCATCATGAGGCGTGGCTTAATAGCCTGAGAATCCTGAATTTTTTTTAAAGTTTTTTACTAATTTATTACTGATTTAAGGATTGAATGCTTAGTAAGTAAATGTTGTTGATTTGTAACATAGCACCCAGAAACCTATGAATTTTTTTAAGCAAAAGTATCAAACAAGATCATGAGTATCGATAATAAGTACTGAAATATTCAAGTGGTGCAAAAGGGGGGGGGGCTGTAAATTAAAAGTATTGCTGAAATCTTTATTTAAAAAATCTAGTTCAAAGATGCCAACTGCTACGGACAAGCCAAAATAATTTAAAAAAACGGTAAATAACTACAAAGTAAATTTTGCAAATATTTTACTGTTTTTGCTTGCTTTTAAAAAGCATAGCATAACATATGTACTATAAAGTGGTGAATTATATAAGCCTACGAATTGTTTAGAAATAGTGATGGATAAAAATCTGTTAAATTGAATTTATTAAACCAAGAATCGCAATTGGTAAACTACCACTTTAAAATATATATTTGTTCTCCGGAGCAAGATGGCATCTCTAGTTTCTACTAATATCTTTTCATTTAGATGTCACACTACTTTACGCTCTACGACATAATTTAAAAAACGCTTATTAGATTCGAATCTAAATGTTATTTTTCTTGCTTTGTCTTCTTAATTATAATATTTTTGGCAACGTGTTCTTTTTTCATCAATGAACACAGCTAAAAATATGCAAAACAAAGGATGCAATGACTCTATCTGATTACAAAATAAATATAAGCACACAATGCAATATGAATCACTTTTTAAAGAACATCTTCAAAGGGAATCTTAGTATTTCGATCATTTACTTAGATCAAAATCATTGTAAAAATTGAATAATAAAATGTACTTTGATGTCTTTGAATTATAAAATATACTTTCACTTTTATTACACGAAAAATCTTGTTAAAGTAAATGATTTTCGCTTTGACATATTTATGTAATAATTTTCCGGATGAGTGAAGACTGCAAAGTTAAATTTTCATTTTAAACTTTCATCTTGAAAACAAGACATTGATGTTTCTCGTTTGATAAAATTAATGTTTATATTTTGATCCAATCTGTTTAAGAGTCATTATTTTGAAAGTCAGATGAAAACCTGAAATTTTGATTGTTGTATTTTTTAATTAGCTTATTTTTTTATGTTGAAATCGGTTATGAAAAATGAATATTGTACAAATTTGAGACCCAAAGAAATGTTTTCTCCCCAGTAGAAAATTTCAAAGTGATTTCTTTAAAAGAGAAATTTAAGTATGCTTTGAGGAGTTTATCTAAAAAAAAGCAATAATGCCCTAAAGTTTTGTTTTGCTTTCTTATAAGGTTATCGCTGCCTAGTTACGGACATGCACTCGTTTTCATGGGGCATTATTGCAATTTAGAGTTATGCTCAGTCAAAGTTGGTTGAAAATTCAGTTATTAGCGTTTTTCTGCTTCGAAAATATTGATTAAACAACAGCACTCCAATAATTTTTTTTCTGAATATTAGAGCTCCCTTGATATTGTTGATAAAATCATTAAAATTGGTGTTTTTGATAAACGAAAAGCTTTTAAATTTAAAGTTATTTTTTTCTGTAACTTGTGCAATAAAATTTTCAAAAATTTGGTTTTTTCACAAATGTTCAGAATTAAAAAAAAAATTGCAATAATGTTGAAAGTTTCTGAGAGGCTGAGAATAATTTTTTGAATAATTTGAGTAATAATGATTT